GGTCCTAGAACTACTCTTGGATTTTCTCCAGAGTGAAACCTAACCTTCTTAGGCTCATGTTTCATTCTCTTTCATTCCAGGAGCGCCTCAACAGCCTGGATTCATTTCCCAGGAACCAGTCATCTGGGCCAGTGATTCTCTACCCCACGTTGTTCTCCCAGAGTACTTGGCAGAGAGAGAGAGAAAAAGAGAGAGCATGCTCCACGGCTCATTAGGTAATTATTGATGGGGAGGGGGTTCTTATCCAACTATTCCAGGAGTCATGGGGTATTTATATTAAAAACTAAGAAAGGAAAGGAAAAGAACCACCATTCCCACATTAATTTGCTACAAAGCCTCATTGTTTCCTGCTTCCTCCTTTTCAAAATGATTAGTTTAACACAGAAGCATATTGAATGTTAGGATGAGTAATTAATGTCTTAGCATTTTAGAATTTTGTGGAAACCTCTTCCCTTACCACTAAATACTGAATGAACTTATTCATAAAAATTAAATACTTCTCCTCCTTCTTTATCTCCCCCCGCCCCTCCCCTCTCTTCCCCTCCTCTTCCTCTCCCCTCCCCTCCCTTCCCCGCCCCTCCCTTTCTTTCATCTTGATTGGAGTACATGGGTTGGCAACAAAAGAGTTCTAGGGAACATAACATGGATACCATTCACTGAGTGGCTCTATCTCAATCCTTTGCTGCCCAAGAGATCAAGTTGTAAGGCAGAATGCACTGGAAAAGAGCAGAGATGAACAGAGGTGACTGAAAATTACTGGTGACAAACTATCTAAGCCCTTATATACCTCTCACAAGGATGTTACCAGAAAAATGTCTGACTATATTTAACTTTACTGTTTTAGACCTTTTTGAATATTTTTCTACTAAAACTTAATTTAGTAGGCAAAAAATTGAGACTTAAAAATTAAAGGCTCTCTTCCCCTCATTTTGCAAGTGTGTAATGGGATTTTGTTACTGACACTTAATTGACATGACAATAATTTGAACTATGTATTGCTTTCTCAACAAGTCATCTTCACATCTCCTAGATGATAGAAAATGAATAGATATTAATATCTGAACTCTCTGGGGATGGAAAGGAGAGCAGAGTCAATAGGCGTTTCACACTTTTATAACCTATAGTCTTGTGACTCTGGTAACATCTGAGAGCATACTCTGTGGAGGAGGAGGAAGGGAAAGATGGGCAGCAAGGAAAGGACACACATTTAATGATGAACACAAATGTGAAAGCTTGAGAGGGACCGTGAGGAAAGGGAAGTTATAGACAAAACAGCAAAGTTACTTTCCCAACATCCATCACTGAAATGCCCTGGAAATCAATCTACTGCATAATTATGCCATTATGCCATTTTAATGGCCATTCATTTTTATTGTGTGCCAAACTAATAGTGGATAGTGGAGATACAACAGTATCAAAACCACACGTAACCACCACCTTTATATAGTTTATAACCTAATATTGATACAAGTCAACCCCTATTGTTCCTCCAAATGAATCCATACTCATTGTGTGACTACTTTGCACAAAATGAGAGATACAGAACTCACCATCAAGCAGTTTATGGTATGTCAATAGGAAAGATAAATATTAAACTCGATTCTTAAATTTATACACTAGCTTCAGTTATGGTATCTAAAAAATCCTTGTAAAAATTTTGTGAACAATTTAAAGATTACTATTTTTTATTATTGTTAATTTTTAAAAATAACTTAGGAATAAAATGGAGGCTCACGGAACTTAAGTCATTTGCCCAACTCTACAACCGATGAATGAAAGAATGGCTGGGCTGTGGCTTCAATTCTTTTTTGTCCTTAAACTATGCCAGCTCCCTGCAGCTAGAGTTCAAAAATAAAACTAACTGACGATTAAAAATGAAAACCAATCACTATTGAAAAAAGTACTTGGTACAGAAAACAAAAACAATTTTATTTGCTATAAATAAGATCTGGAATCATAAAAGACAAGACTGGAACCCAAGGTTATGGCGGTCTGCATAGAATCACACCTCGTGGCCAAATATTGATGGAATCTATAGTTATAATTGGGGGAATCCACGATCTCAGTGGAAAAGGGTTGCATTTTGGAGCTGGATAACTTGAGTTTAAATCCTGACCTTGAACTTATTACTTGAAAGACTTCAAGTTAGGTTTTACCCTCTGTGTTCCCGTTACTCATCCTCACAGATCATAGTAAAGATTATATAAGGCAGTATATATAAAGCACCTACTGTTAATCAGTATTGTATATTACCCTTCTTTCAGAAAACTAATGCTTTTATAGAAGGGAAAACAAAAAATTTTAGTACTTGGTTTTCTTTTATTCTCTGCCCATCTGTATTAGGTAGAGCCAGGTTAGTGTTTGATTGGATAACTGGGGACTATAACCTAGCTAAGTTAAGCATATAAAACTGACCATCACAGTCCTTCCCTTGTCAACTTGGTGTCCATTCACATCTCTTTAAATCATATTTAATATTTTGAAAACAACAACAAAGACATCCTTCTATCTAACATATAACAACTCTTCTGCATACAACTGAAAATACTGTCTTTCTCCAGAGTAAAATACAAATTCCTTGGGTAATGTTCATTCTTTTCCATGATATCCTGTAACTTAAATACAGTGATGTAAAGTTGGCTGTTACACATCTTATGTTATATAATAAGGGGTAAGAAAAGGGAAAAAAAAACAACAATATTTCCCACAGATATATACACACATTTACATAACAAAATAGGAAGAAATACAACTATGAAAGTCATATTTTCTACAATTGGTCACATGGTTTCAGTCGCATAGCTAGTATTTTAAGTACCTTTTCTCACTACCATATTCTCTTTGCCCTCAGCAAGCACCTCAGCTAGTCAGGTTCTTTGCCTGGTAAAGTGATGCAAATCTTTATTTCTGAATGGTGTGGGTCATTAGCAGTCCTGCTTTAATTGGGATGTTGTAGTTTTCCATTGACTCTTGTCTCAGGGCATGGTAGTACTAAGACACACTCTGAAGGATCTTCTGTATTCCAGACATATGCCTTCTTACTATCCGTGTATTATAGAAATTCAATGTCCTTGGTAATCAAGATTAATCAGCCAAGTCAACAAGCAACATTCTTCTTTGCTTGTTGATGCAGAGTCATGCAGAGTCCAAAGTTGCCATGTGGTAGTCTTGACTTCTGCTTCAATGGAATCATTGTCTCTTAATAGAAGAATTCCACTCTTTGGAACTAAGACTTCTAAACCAGCAGAGCATAAAGTCATGGGGATAGAAGGGGAAGCTTTTGCTAGTGGTCCACTAGCAGCAATAATGGTAGTGATGGGAGTCATGTTACTCCCGTTTCCACTCCTTGATCCCTGGACCTGTGAATCCTGGCTATGGGAGAATTGCCACCATATACTGAATGCTAACTTAGGCACTGACTGCAAAATACAGCCAGTAGATTAGACTCTATCTGAATCTTCAAAAGACCATTTTACTGTTCATCCAAGCCAGCTGCTTCAGGATTACAGGGAATATGGTGAATTTCATATCCTGAGACCTCTGCTGCATACTTCATTTGCTGTGAAACGAGTGCCTTGATCAGAAGCATCTTATATGGAATATGATAATTATGAATAAGCCATTCTATGAGTCTATGGTTTTGGCAGAAATATTGTGTTTAGGGAAAGCAAATTCCTATCTAGCGTATCTATTTTAGTAAAAATGCACAGATTTTTGGCAGTGGAGTAGAGTCTTTCCTGAAGAGGATAGGGGCCTCCCCTTCATTCAGGGTGCTTTGAGTTTGTAAATTGGCTCAAATCTTGGAATCAATTGACATGATTCTCTGTTTTCATGTTTCAAATTAGACCTCTGTTTAGTCAACATAGAACTCTTCCCACTTATACAAAGCAAAAAAGAATTAGTAGATTTTTCATCTATTTTTTTTTCCCTAGGGACATGATGATCAACTAGCAGAATCTCTGCTTAGTGGGTCATCAATATCAGTAAATCCAGCCTGACTCAACTTTATATATATTTCTTTTTTTTTTTTTTTTTTTTTGACAGAGTCTTGCTCTGTTGTCTGCTCCTCAGCCTCCCAAGTAGCTGGGATTATAGGTGCATGCCACCATGCCTGGCTAATTTTTTGTATTTTTAGTGGAGACAGGGTTTCACCATCTTGGCCAGGCTGGTCTTAAGCTCCTGACCTTGTGATCCACTCACCTCAGCCTCCCAAAGTGCTGGATTACAGTTGTGAGCCACTGCATCTGTCCCTCAACTTTATATTTCTTCCACTGTTATTCAAAACCTTTAATATCCATTCACAAACATATTACCCAAATTTCTGTCTGTATAATTTGGGAAAATTATGCTGTTTTTTTTCAGTGTATAGTGTACTTTATATTGAGTCACACTTTGTATCTCATCTCCTGGGACCTACTGGGACTTGAATCTAGTTACAGGCCTAGAGACAAAGAAGAATGGTGAGGATGAGTCCTGAGGGAGATCAGCAGTGTCTTTCAAAGCAACTATTTCAGAAGAGGCTATTATTATGACTTCTTCAGGCAAGGCAAGTTAACCTTCTTAGTGATAGAATGTTCTCTTCTGCTAGTAAAGAACACTCAGCAGAATTTAGGAGTTCAGTGTCCCCAGCTTCCCTAAGATCTTCCCATACGTCTCTATTCCAATTTTTGGAAGCCTATTGCTTCTCAATCAATGGCCTCATTTGAACAGAAGACACCCGTGAGGCTGAAATTCAATTTGAATTATAATTTAGCCATTCTCAGGATGAGACTCTGGGTTTGTTTTCAGAAATCTCAACTGTGCAGCTATAAGAGATAGAGGTTTCTTTCAGGACAGATGTAGAACATTCCAAGTAACTTATACACAGTTTGAGCTTGGAATTTGAAGTCCTGGGTGCATTATTTCCTTTTATATTTCCTCCAGTGCAGTTAGAAACAACTAGCCTTAGTTTGATTGAAATGTTTTGAAGTATTAAATACATAGTTGTCCACAATCTTGACTTTTATGGGTATTTGATAAAAAGTATCCTGTGGTGATATTTTGCAAATCTTTGTTGTGACATCATGCCATGGATTATCAACGCCCTCTTTACCACTGGAAATAGTCACTAGTGCCTTTGAATCAAATCAAACTAAAGAACCAATTCCAAAAAACTCAGTCAATTTAGAACCTCATTCTTAATGTTTCATTTGTCTCAAACCACTTCTAGTATAAAAATTTGTATCTGTCAGCATTCCACAAGACAAACAGAACTAGCAAGATGTACACACACACAGACACACACACACACACACACAAGCACACACACACAAATATATCAAAAATTTATTGCAGGGTGTTGGGCTCCATAATTGTGAGAGCTGGCTAGGCAATGCCAAAATCCAAGGTGTCTATCAGGAAAGGCAGGCAAGAATTCTTGAGTACAAGCTGAAGCTGCAGATAACAGGCAATTTTTTTTCTTTCTAATGGAAACATCATTTCTGCTCGTAAGGCTCTTCAGCTGATTGGGTGAGGCTCACCCATACCACTAAAGACAGTCTCCTTTACTTACATTTAGCTGGTTGTAGGTGTTAGTCTCATCTGTAGTGTACCTTCATAGTAACACTTAGAATAGTGTTTGACTGAATGACTAGATAGTATAGTCTAGCTGAGCTGATGCAAAAAAAAAATTGAACATCACATCATGCACCAAACATGATTTTAAAAAGTGGAATAATTTTACTTATGCTTTGCTTTAATATTTGTTATCTTTCATTCCAACATCCTTACTTTTAAAAATATATATTGAGATAAAATTTTTCCTAGTCAAGCCTTCAGTGATCCATGGGCCTATATAATCCATGAGTACCATAATATGTGTGACTCATTTCACAGACTTTAAAGTCCGTGAAGAATCTTGTTCATCTGAACATTCAGCATGTTCTAGAAGAGAAAAGAATTTCATGGGAGGTCAGCCCAAAGAGAATGAAAAGTGAGTAGGTCTTGGATATGAGCACAGTGGCAGTTCAGCAGGTGTATATTTTAAAGCGTTAGGAAGTTTTTCAAAACCATTTATTCTCCTCACCTATTTGAAAGTGTCATATCTTGTTACTCGGGTATCATCTCTTTATCTAACCCAGACAACAAGGAGTCCTGTGTTCACAGTCGCCATGGGATAGATCTGCTTCTATCATCTCTTCCTTTTCCCATTATGGCAAACTTTATTCCCTCCTGCTCCTCCCTCCCCACAGGCAACAGGGCCTACAGAAGGTCCCATTATCCTCTTTATCTTTTTAAATTTTCCAGACTGATACAGCGGAAGGAATAGAAGGTGCTAGGAGAAGTCAATAAGCCACGTTAATTCAGTGTCAGTAGTTGCTTCTAGGATAGTCTATGTTTAAATCCATGAACACATAAATGGCTTAACCTGGGCTTTGAAGCATATACCTCATTAAGGACATACAGAGAAAACGTCTCAAAATAGTAATTTTTGAACATTTGCTTTTTATTGTTTCCTTTCTGTTGTGACCTTTCCCCTTCTCAGTTAGAGGAATCTACATTGCTTTGAGGATAAGAAGATCATTCGAGTGAAAATGAAAAGAAGAAACAGTCAATGTTCATGTTTCTGACTTCCAAAACAGTCTTTTGAGAATCAAAAGGGCTTGCTTGAGAGAGAGAGAGCAGTGGTTAGGCCATAATCATAGAATTAGATGGAGAACACAGAGTTTTCAGGTCAAGATGGCATCTCTGCTCCAATTACACAGCAAGAGGGAAAAATATACATAAAAAGAGACAAGGCTGTACTCAATAAAAGACAATCATTTTCACAGTCAAGGAACAGAATAGAAAAACAAAATGGTGAACAGAGCAGGAGGTAAGACTTTGCTGCACTTTGAATGTGAAGTAGGCAGTAGCTCCAGGGTTTGGGTTGCTCCCGGCAGAGGACTAATAGTGTTCTGCAGAAGATGTTAGGGGCTTAGTGAACATCCTCACTTAGGACATGTAGGAGAAATTCTTCTGCCAATCCTTTCTTGGGGGGTAGAGTACCCTAGAAGGGTGGCAACTTAGACACACAGACAGACCTGCATGATCAGGAGCTTTGGCCACGGATCTGAGCACGGCTCTGCTATGTTCCCAATATGGCTGCTTATAAGAGGGCCTAGCTCCAGGTTAGGATCTCCCCAGAGAAGGCAGCTGTGAAATCAGAGTTAAACAAATAAGCAAAACCATTTATTGCAAAGTAAACAAAGAAAACAGGAAATTTTACCAACCAAACAGAAAGCAGAGAAAGAGAATAACAGCAATAAAGAAAAAGCATGATCATCTCACAAAACCAATAAGGTGACAGACATAAACCCCACTAGCCTCACAGAAAATGTAAATGACTTAAACTTGCCTATTAACAATCACAGTTTATAAAATTTAATTTGAAATAGGCTGCTTTTGTAAGATAAAGACATAGAAACAAACACCTGAAAAAAAAAAAAAACACATAGAAAAATTTAAAACATGAAAAACAAAATAAATACTAAGTAAAAAATTAGTGTAAGAAAAGTAATGTCTGACAAAATAAAATTTAAAACAATATCACTAGAATAAAAAGGGACACCCTGTAATCATGAACAACAACAAAAAACAAACCAATGAAAAATCATGCCAATTCTGAACTTGTAAGCACTTACAACATAGGCCTGAGGCTAACAAATGTAAAATCTACAGAATTTTAAGGAAAAACTAACAAATATGGAAACTGATGACTTTAAGGAAACTCTAGTCAAATGGGATTAATTAAGTTGACAAAAATAAGAATACATATAAAATTAAAATAACAAAAATTAAAACATTGCTCTATCATCACTGATTGGTAATACAATTTCTTATAAATCTACTTCCCTTGTTTATTCTGTTTTTTTTTTTCTACATTCTACATATAATATTCATGGGTAAAAAAATTAGCAAGTGTTAAAATATTCAATACTTTAGTAGGAATTATAAACGCTGAATTTATAATTATGCTATTCTGGAATTTGCAAGGGAATGATGAAGAATTTTAAGTTCTGAAGAAGCAAAAACCCAGGAAGAGCCAAGCTAGAGGAGCCTCACCTGGGTGAGGTGAGTTATATATGGGTTTATAGGAGGTTGGGGTAAGAATCCTGACCCAAGGGAACCCCAAAAAGTATAAGCAATCCGCCCTGAGAGCCATGCATTATTAGTATCCAATGCTGAGAGATGCATGGAAATTGAACCACCATCTTGAGGTAACACTGCATGTTCCCCAGCTGGAAGAGCAAGCGTAGTTGCTCATCTCTCACTGTGGGTACTGGAAGGCCCACAACAATTGTCAGCACAGCACCCAAGGATGTCTTAGTAGTAGGATGCCACTCATGCCTTGGTACTTGCCTAACCTGTTCTGAATGGACTGGCATGAACGAACCCCCTACTCAAGGTCAATATTCTGTGACACTTATAAGCACATCCATACTATGGTTGACCTCAACAATGAGGTCCTTAATAGCCAGAGGGAATGTGGTGGTGTGAAGGGCAAGGCCAAGAACTGCTCACATGGGTAAGGAAAGCTCCCCCATTACAAAGAAAGCTGGAGATAATTTAGTATTTTCAGGATTCTGTCATTTGCTAGAGATAGTTTTCCTGCTAAGGTTGAAGTTAAACAGAACAGACATACTATAAAGAACATTTTCTTTTTCCTTTAAAACTCTGAAGAGACCACCCTATGCAAAGACATATTATCATCTGAAACCTGTCTCTTTGGACACAGAACTAATTTGTACTTATTCAATAAAACAATCATCTGAAAGAAATGGATCTTTATTGGGAATATTCTTGTCTCATCTTTTATTCCTTCTATTTCCTTGGTTTCACAAACTCTTCCCTCCATCTCTCTCTGGGAATAAAATCTTTTATAGTGGAGCTCTTGAAACCCCAATCAGATCCTGAGACCAGCAGTCAACCCTCCTGCCTTTTACTGCTCCTGTCCTTTTTCCTCTACATGGCTTCCCACCGTCAATTAAAGTAAGGGATATGACTCCCTTCTCTTTTTTCCCTTCCCTTCCCATCACATGCATTGAGTAACTCTGTTCTCTCAGACTCTGCACCATGCACTATGTGTACAGTAATGAATAAAATAGAAACAGTGCCCTCATGAGTCTCATAACTTAATACAGAAGGCTGATATTTAACAATGAACCCCATTAGAAATACAGATACAGGCTCTGAAATGTGCTGTGAAAGAAAATATTTTTTTGTTCTGCAAAAGACAATAACACGCTAACATGCTTTAGTTACAGAAACCAGAAAAGAAACTGTCATGGAGTTGATTCTGAAAGATAATGAACAAAAAGGAGTTGCCAGGTGAGGAGGAGTGGGAACTTTACTGGCTGAGGAAACAGGTTCTCTTAGTTGACAGAACACTTCCTCCCTACTTGGAAGGAGGAAAATATCTTTCTTTGATTTATGGACATGAAAGGAAACTTGGTTGGTTTTAAGTTATGGGAATCTCAGATTTTCTCCTCAAGGCCTTTAGATGTTTCTCAGAGTAGTTTTGGCGTCTAAATTTCACAGAAGAAATCAAAGGCCAGCCAAATTTTTGTGTTTACATATAATGTGTTTTTCACCTTTGTATTGTTTCTTTTGAGTGCTTGTGATATTCATACATTATTTCTTTACATTTGAGGCTGTCACCATATGTGTTAGAATTTTATCTTTAATTATTGTTTCAAAGGGCATGCATATATTTTTATTGTGTTTACTCCATTTGATTTGATATCAACTCTGGTATGTTCCTTTTTTCTTTTCTTTATAGACAAGCTGATTATTCCCATCTTAACTTTCCATTTGCTGCCATAAAATAGAATAATATTATATCTAATCATTTTTAGCTCATTTCCTTTCCTTATAAGATCTGGCAGAAATTACCAAGATTTTACTGCAGGACCAATTATCTTCTTTATGAAGAGCTACCTTTTTCCCTCTAAGAATTGTTGGCCTCACATAAAGCAATTGATCTCCAAAGTTCTTTCCGTACCCTGTGTCCTCACCCTGTTGCTATCATTGATTAGACATTGAATGGGCATCTATCCCAAGCCACACTCAATACGTTTCCTCTCTCTTGAGAATTTATAATTGGGATTTAAAGTGACTTTCAAGCTCAAACACAATAATTTCCAACTCTTGTTTCTAAGATTCTCCTAGGACCCAACAGAACACAGACTTCACAGAAACCTCTGTATCTTCCTAATGTTTTTCCTTTTTATGTTTATGTTTCTACAATTGTATTTTTATTACTTCAGTGAAAAATATTTTGCGCAAGTCCATGTATCAGGACAAATTATTCCAGTCTTCCAAATGGCTGCTCACTCTAACCTACATGTAGACGATTAGAAAATATTTAAAGAATAAAAATTGATGAAAATAAAAATTTATGCTATTCAAAAATTTGCTTGAATAGCATAAATTTGAATACAAGTTATGTATAATGAATACTCATACATTGCAGGTTTGAAAAGAAAGATAAAGGATTTAAAAGGTATTAGGCGACTTTCCTTCAGCTCTCCACAGCCTTTGATCTTCTCACAGAAGCCTGATAAATCCCTGTCAGGCAGACACAGCAAAGAGGGAGGGGGCCTGTTGTTTCCTCCAGCAATGGTCATTTCTTTCATTTCCGCCTTGTCCAGAAGACACCATCTTTTGACCAAAAGTTCAGGAAGAAAATAATGTTAACGTTATGTGCATGAAGACAGAACCCAAAGACTTACAGATCAAAGGATACTGATAGTGGAAACAAGGGAGGTAGAATGGTCAAGGTAAGATCAGCATTTTCTTAGTCCAGTAACTGGTAGCTGGGAAGTGTATCTACTGAAGTTAGCATGATCATTAAGCTTAGAAAGGATATGAAAAAAAGGTAAACTATTATCCCTGCAGCCAAAAGACCAATCAAAGATTTCCTTAGTGGACTGGGAGCCTTTGGACCTGTCACTAGTCTCATATGGAAGGCAAAGCCCTGAAACAGAAGCAAAGCCCAACATAAAAAAAGATAATAACACATAAAATAATCCCATTTGGGGCATTCACATGTTGGCATAGACTAAGGGAAGAAACAAAGGATTTTATTTGTGTTTAACAATGTATTGGCATTAAATAAAAACAGAACTACTATGTGTTAAAATTTGTGTGACACAGATAATGGTTCTTAGAGAGAAAATCATAACCTCAAAGGGTTATACCAGAAAAGAAGGAAGACTGAATATTAATGAGCTAAGATTTCAACTTAAGAAAAAGCAAAACCCAAATAAAAATAAAAGTAACCAAATCAGAATAAAGCATTACAAACAAAAACCAAAAAAGAAGCAGTAAAGAACAGGAATTTGTGAAAAGATTGTATCATAGTTAATATCAGTAGTATCAATTTCTATTTATATCAAAATACCATAAAAATTGACAACCCTCTAATGGGATATATAAGGACTAAAAGTCCCAAATAAGTAACATTAGCAATGCAAAATATGCCTTTCTGAAGATGCAGAGAATAAAATAATAGAGGTGATCATAGAGCAACGGGTTCCTATGTATTGAAAAATTTAGTGAAATTGAAATAAAATTACAAGAAATATGAATGTTTCTAGAATATAGAACATTTTAATTCCCTTTTTCTTACTTTTCTTACCCTACTTACTTTTAAAGGATAGTTATAACAAGTATTCAAGGAATAGATAACTACATTTAAGAAAATTCATTCAAGGACTAAAAAGAGATGATACTTTGAAACTCATGACTTGAAGGTAATAACATATTAGTACCATAATCAGGGTAGGACAGCAGGATAAATGAAAATTATAATTAAATCCTTCATAGAAATGAATGCAAATTATTCACCTTCCACTCAAAATCAATAAAAATTGAATCCAGTATTGTATAACAAAACAAAGGGCATAATACATCTTGACCAACTTGGATTTGTTGCTTTTATGTAAGATTGTTCCATGGTATAATTCACTATACTGGGATTTTGAAAATGGAAAGTACAACAGGTTTATAATCATTGCAATAGATTTTTTTAAAATGACAAAATTTAACAACCATTCATGACAAAATCCAACTAGAAAGATCTCTCACAAAATAGGAATAGAAGAGAACTTCTTAACTCACAAAACATTTCCATTTAACAAGTAACTACAAAATCTTTTGAATGATTGTATTAGTTAGGATTCTCTAAAGAAACAGGACCAATAAAATGAGGGTGTTTGTGTATGTGTGTGTCTCCCTCACACACATGTGCACACACACACCCATACATAAGATTTAAGGAATTGGATAACATACATGAGATTTAAGGAATTGGATAACACTGCATAACACAATTATGCAGGTTGGCAAGTTTGAAACCTGTAGGGTGGGGTGGCAGGCCAAAGACCTGAAGAACAGCCCATGTTGCAGTTCAAATCTATTGTTTATGTGCTGGCAGAATTCTTCTTTGCTGGGGCAAAGTTCGTCTTTTGTTCTGTTCAGGCTTAAAACTGACTGGATGAAACCCGCTCACATTAAGAAGGGCAATCTGTTTTACCCAGAGTCCACCCATTTAAATATTTATTTCATTGAAATAGACACTCACAGAAACATCCAAAATAGTGTTTTATCAAATACCTGGACACTGTGGCCCAGCCAACTTGACAAAATTAACCATTATGGTAACGAAACATTTGAAAGTATTTTCTTTAAAATCAGGAGAGTGGCAAGGACATTTGCTACTAACATTTTTATCCAGCATGGGTCAGAGGTCCTAGCCAGTATAATAAGACAAGAAAAAGAAATCCAATATGAAAAAATTAGAAAGAATGAAACTAAATTTTTATGGTCTCCCCAAGATATGATTGTCTCAAAGAACATTTTCTATCAGAAAATTACTAGATTTTAAAAAAGATTTCAGTGAATTTTCTGGGTATAATGCACAAAGTCTACTTTATTTCCAAATGTTATCCACAAACAATTAGAAAAATGCAATTTAAAAAGATACTATATAATTGGCTAGCCATATGAAAAAATGAAACTGGACCCTTTCATTACACCATATAAAAGAATCAAGTCAAGATTGGGTTCAGTGGCTTATGCCTGTAATCCCAGCACTCTGGGAGGCTGAGGCAGGTGGATTGCCTGAGTCCAGGAGTTCAAGACCAGCCTGGGCAACATGGCAAAACCCTGTCTCTACTAAAAATACAAAGAGTAGCCAGGCATGGTGGTGCACATCTGTAATCCCAGCTACTCTGGAGGCTGAGATGGGAAAATCATCTGAGCCTGGGCCATTGAGGCTGCCGTGAGCTGAGATCATGCTACTGCCCTTTAGCCTGAACAACAGAGTGAGACCCTTTCAAAAACAAAACAAAACAAAACAAAAAAACCTCAAGATTAATTAAAGACTTAAATACCCCAAACTATAAAAATGCTAGAAGAAAACCCAGGCAGTACCATTAAGGACATAGGGACAGTCAAAGATTTCATGACAAAGATGCCAAATGCAATAGCAACAAAAGAAAAGATTGACAAATGGGATCTAATAAAAGAGCTTCTGCACAGCTAAAGAAACTATCAATAGAGTAAACAGACATACAGAATGGGAGAAAATTTTTGCAAACTATGCATCTGACAAAGGTCTAATATTCAGCATCTATAAAGAACTTAAATAAATTTACAAGAAAAAAAAAACAACCTCATTAAAATATAGGCAATGGACATGAACAGATACTTCTCAAAAGAAAACATACATGTGGCTAACAATCAGGAAAAAAGGTTCAGCATCACTGATCCTTAGAGAAATGCAAATCAAACCCACCAATTTCATACCAGTCAGAATGGCTATTACCAAAAAGACCAAAAATAACAGATTCTGGCAACTTAGTTGTTTAAAAGGAATACTGTTACACTGTTGGTGGGAATGTAAATTAATTCAACATTGTGGAATACAGTGTGGCGATTCCTCAAAGATCTAGAGACAGAAAGAAATAGCATTTGACCCAGCAATACCATTACTGGGTATATACCCAAAGGAAGATCAATCATTCTATTATAAAGGCACATGCAGCATGTATATGTTGATTGCAGCAAAGGTGTGAAAATAGCAAATACGTGAATTCAACACAAATGCCCACCAATGATACATTGGATAAAGAAACTGTGATACATATACACTATGAAATACTATACAGCCATAAAAAATAATGAGATTATGTCCTTTGCAGGGATGTGGATGGAGCTGGAGGCCATTACTCTTAGCAAACCAAAGCAAGAACAGAAAAGCAAACAGTACATGTTCTCACTTTCAAGTGGGAGCTAAATGGCGAGGAACACATGGAAACAAAGAGGAGTACAACACACACTGGGCCTTACCAGAGGGTAAAGGGTGGGAAGAGGGAGAGGACCAGGAAAAAGAACCAATAGATAACAGGCTTAATACCTGGGTGATGAAATAATATATGCAACAAACCACCTATGACACATGTTTACCTATGAAACACACCTGCACATTCTGCACATGTGCTCCTGAACTTAAAATAAAACTTAAAAAAATAAAAATTAAAAAAAGACATCATATACAATAGTAATTAATGTGTTTGGTATCTAGGACAACATTTCACAAAAGAAATGGAAGATTTTTTTTGTAAATAATTATAAAACTTTAAAAAATGTCATTAAAGAAGAACGAAATATACAAACATATTGTTTCCATGAGTAGAAAGATTCACTCTCAGTATTACAGATGCCATTTGTTCCCAAATTGACTTACAGATTCAATATAGTTGAAATAAATACCATTTTAAAATAGTATCTTAATTTTGTCAAATAAAATTTGACAAGTGTGGTCCAAAATGCATCTGGAAGAGCAAAGGGCTCCAAATAACCATAAAGACAAGCTGCATTAGAGATAGGTAAGTGGGTATAAAAGTAATAAAGTATGATATTGTCATAGAAATAAACAAACATTCTACCATGGGCACATAACAGATAACCAAATGTAGACTCAGGAATCTGAACTGATATAATTCAAATGGGCTCAGCAGATTAGTGAGGAAATAATTGACCATTCCTGTGAATCAATAAGGATAAGTCCCTTGAAAAAGCATTTCTTAGGAGGAGAAATGTAAGTGGCAAAAAAGCCATGACAATGAAAAAATACTCAGTGTCATTAATAAATCAGAGAATTGCAAATTAAAACCAACAATTAAATATTATTTTACAGTCACTAGTCTGGCAAATACTTAAATCCTGCCAATCCCATGCTTGAGGAAGTGTATGAAGTAAAGGAAACTCTCATGACTGCTGGTGGACATATAAATTGAAATTACTTCGGAAAATATATTTGAGGTTATCCAGTAATGTGTGTATCATGTAACTACATAATCCTGTTCTATTTCTAGGTATATGACTTCAACTCCTGCGCAAGTGTACTAGGTAACATACAAAAATGTTAAGAGCAGCATTGTCTAAAATAGCACAATTATGAAAATGGCCTGTATTGATTTCCCTTTGCTGTTTAACCAATAACCACAGATTACATGGTTTAAAATGTTTATCATCTCACACTTCTTAGAGGTCAGAAGTCTGAGCTCAGCCTAGCTGAATTTGCTACTCATGGCTGAAGTCAAGTTGTTGGCTGGGCTGTGTTTATTTCTTTCTAGAGCTTGGGGTTCTCTCTCAAGTTGCTGTGTTACAGTTGGCAGAATTCAGCTTCTTGCAAACGTGTGATTGGAGTTCTCATTTGCTTGCTGGCTGTTGACTGGGGACCTCTCTCCGCTTTAGAGGATACCAGCAATTCCTTGCCATGTGACTATATCCTGCTTTGAATCTCTCTGATTTTATTTAAGAATTCATCTGAATAGATTAGGCCATCTATGATCATCTTCTCAACTTAAAATCCACTGATTTGGGATTGTAATTACATCTGCAAAGTCTCGTCACAGCAGCGCCTAGATTGTTGTGTGATCCAGTAAGTGGGAGAAGGTATCTGTACACCAGGATTTGATTATTTTGAGGCACATCCCAGAATTCTGCCTGCTACACAATCCAGATATTCTATGTCATTAGAGTGAATAATTATATGGTTTAAGATACAGTCACATGACAGAATAACTTATAGCAGTGAAAACAAAGTTGAGTTACATATATTAGGATGAATGTCAAAAGTACGTTAATAGAAAAAATTAAATAATAAAAATATTACAGCATGATTCCACTAATATAAATGCCAAAAATGTGCAGAATTGCACATAGTTTATGTTTATAATACACATAGGTGTAGAATACACACCTAAATATAATGAAGATGGTTAGCACAGATTTAGAAAAGACTTCTGAATTGGAAGGCAGAAAATGGGTGCAATTAGGGAGAGAATGCACTGAATTTAAACTGAATATTAATGTTCTACTTGTTAAGATGGTGTTATAAAAATATATAAGTACTGTAATATATTTTTAAATGCTATATATGCATATTCTCTACATTTTTGTATGATAAATTTTATAATAAAATATTTCAAGATAAAATTAAATATGTTGAAAAAATATTTCACTTACAAAAGCAACAAAAAATGAAATAAGAACTGCAGTTTCAATGTAAAAAATCTGTTGAATATGCTAAATACTTACTTGAATGAATGGAAATAGGTCTCTTAATCATAGGATCCAATATTATCAAGCTGTCAAAGACATAGTTTAAAAGACCAAATTTGTCAGCATTTTCTAGTAAATATATAATGTATGTGTGACTTTCAGCTTAATACAAACAGGGAAAAGATCAATAGTAAGTCCTTTCATTATTTCCATAAAATTTCTCCTTTTATTTTCTAATCTTTCCCTGGAAAATGAAACTAACTTCAGTAATTTGCTGCCATTGTGCTGCCCATCTGGAACAAATGCTATGTTCTTCCTGGTGCTGCTTTATGGGTGCATTTCTAGCAGCAAGTTCTGCTGTAACCAATGCATTTAAGGAGTGTGAAGCGGAACTGGCTCCATCTTCCCGGCTCTCATTTCTCAAATAATGTCTGTGAATATAGTTTTCGAAACCTGACTACCTAATTAAGAAAGTGACATGTTTGGAAAAGATTTTAAATGCCAGTGTTTGTCAAGCTGTTTGTTTAGTGAACTCTCTGGGTGCACTGTTACACAAGAACTGTCTTAATTAAGGTTAATTGGTGCATAATAACAGCCACTGCCTTTGGAAAAGATTCTACTGGTGGTAAAGCAATGAGAACCCTTGATGTCTGGATTGAAGGACAAAGCAATTGCAATCAGCCAAATTTCAAGATACATCCTTTGCCTCCAATACAGAAGCTATGCCCCTGTTCTGTCCTGTTTGGAAAAGTACCTCTTTCAAGTGTTTGGAAACTTCTTGCAGACTTTGTATACCACCATTCTTTTAATAAAATTATTTTTTTATGTGTGTGTGTGTGTGTGTGTGTTTGTGTGTGTGTGTTTGTGTGTGTGTGTGTGTGTATGGTTTTTGTTTTGTTTTGTTTTGTTTTGTTTTTTTGAGACAGAGCCTTGCTGTCGCCAGGAGCCAGGCTGGAATGCAGTGGCGCAATCTTGGCTCACTGCAATCTCCGCCTCCTGGGTTCAAAGCAATTCTCCTGCCTCAGCCTCCCACATAGCTGGGACTACAGGCGCACACTACTATGCCCAGCTAATTTTTGTATTTTTTAGTAGAGATGGGGTTTTACCATGTTGGCCAGAATGATCTTGATCTCTTGGCCTTGTGATCCACCCACCTCGGCCTCCCAAAGTGATAGGATTACAGGCATGAGCCACCTTGCTCGGCCTTTTGTATATATTATATATATATATATGTAAAACATCATATTTTATATACATATTTGCATTGAAATGATTACTACAGTCAAGCTAATTAACATATCCTTCTGTGTGTGTGTCTGTGTGTGTGGCAAGAGCACAAAAATCTACTCTCTCATCAAATTTCCAGCATACAATACTACGAACTGTAGTCCATCCACCTGCTGAACATTAGATCTACTCTAGATTTATTCATCTGAAAAACTGCAACTTTGTACCTTTTTGTCTACATCTGTCCATCTCCCCCTCCCTCTGGTAACCACCCTTCTACTCTATTTTTACGTACTCAAGCTTTTTAAAAATGCTGCATATAAGAAAGATCATGAAGTATGTTTTCTTTTCTGTGTCTGGCTTATTTCACTTAGCATAATGTCCCAAGATTCCTCATGTTGCAAATGGCAGGACCTCCGTCCTTTCTAAGGCTGAATAATATTCCATCTTGTGTGTGCATGTATCACAATTTCTTTTATCCAATCATCTGTTGCCAGACACTTAGGTTGTTTTTATATCTTGGCTATTGTGAATAATGCTGCGTTAAACATGGGAGTGCAAATATCTTTACAAAGTGCTGATTTCATTTGCTTTGACCATATGGAGGAATAGGAATTGCTGGATCATATGGTAGTTCCATGTTTAATTCTTGAGGAATCTCTATACTGTTTTCCATAGTGATTGTACCAGTGGCCATTCCCACCAGAAGTGCTCAGGGGTTCTATTTTCTCTACAACCGTGTCAACAGTCATTATCTTCTGTATTTTTGATAATAGCAGCTTTTCGCCTGCTTTTTTCTTTTCTGGGAGTTGTATGATTTCAAGTCTTATATATAAGTCTTTAATTAACTTGGAGTTGATTTTTGTGTGTGGCATAAGAGTCCAGCATCATTATTCTACATGTGAATATCCAGTTTCCAGCTCCATTTATTGAAGACTATCCTTTCTCCCCGTGTCTTCTTGGTATTGTTATTGAGAACTAGTTATTTTGTATTTCATTGAGTTTATTACTGGGCTCTCTGTTCTGTTCCATTAGTTCATGTGCCTGTTTTTATGCCAGTACCAAGATGTTCCAAGATGTTTTGATTACTATAGGTTTGCAATGTAATTTGAAATCAGGTACTGTGATTCCTCAAATTTTGTTTTTCTCAAGATTGCTTTAGCTATTTAGAGTCCTTTGTGGTTCCCTAGGCATTTTAGAATTTTATTTCTATTTCTGTGAAAAGAGCCATTGGAATATTGATAGGGTTTGCCTTGAATTTATTTATTACTTTGAAGAGTATGGACATTTTAACAGTATTAATTCCTTCAATCCATGAACACAGAATATCTTTCCACTTACTCATGTCTTCTTCAATGTCTTTCATCAATGTTTTATAGTTTTTAGTGTACAGATCTTTTTACCTTCATGGTTAGATTTGTTCCTAATTATTTTATTCTTTTTGATATTATCGTAAATATGGATGAAGCAATTCTGATTCCAGCCTCATGGTAGTTAGAAGAAAACAATATATGATCAATTCAGTGGTGGGCTGCTTATTTTCTAAACTATGTTAAAATTTAAGTCAGGTGGCCGGGCATGGTGGCTCAAGCCTGTAATCCCAGCACTTTGGGAGGCCGAAGTGGGCGGATCACGAGGTCAAGAGATTGAGACCATCCTGGCCAACATGGTGAAACCCCGTCTCTACTAAAAATACAAAAAAAATTAGCTGGGCATGGGTGGTGTGTGCTTGTAGTCCCAGCTACCCGGGAGGTTGAGGCAGGAGAATTGCTTGAAACTGGGAGGCGGAGGTTGCAGTGAGCCGAAATTGCACCACTGCACTCCAGCCTGGTGCCTGGTGACAGAGCGAGACTCTGTCTCAAAAAAAAAAAAAAAAAAAAAATTAAGTCAGGCAAAAATCAGTCAATTCCACTTTCTCTGTTCTTCTTACCCTTTCCTCTGCAAAAAGGGAGAAGCTAGGTGGATGGGAAGATGAGCATAGAAAACACAGGTAACCTTCTAAGGGACTTCTCGGTAATGGAGAAGTGACTAGGAAGAATGTGGTGGGCTGTTCTCATGTCTATCAGTGGCACGATGGTGCATCATAGTGCATCATAAATCTGCTTTTCTCGTAAGTCTGGCTTTCTTAATAGTGAGGGCACCAAATACTAAAATGAATGCCAAGGGAAGTCATACAAATTTTATTGGTACTTTTAAAAATAGGACACAGTGCCTAGCAGTGCCTGACCTAAAATAAGAACTTATACTTGGAAGCCAGAAATTGTCTGGAACTTCTGTAAAAAAACGAATCAAAACAAGTACCATTTCGTTTGCTTACTGTTCATTTATTTTTTAAAAAAAATTTCCAATCCATTGTGGACCAATATTTTTATAAAATACAATATAAATGAGGTACTAAAAACTAAATAAGATAAAATTCAAGACCAAATATATTATTGTGAGATTCAACAGACATAAAATAGAGTTGCATTGTTATATGAGTTTGTAATTTTATGTACTAATCTCTATGAAGACTTGTAAGAAACAGTTCTTGCAGCAGTGCAGGTCTGTGGAACTTATGTTGAATACAACTGGACCAGGTAATGTGTCAAAGTATTTATTTCCTGGATGTTTTGAGCAAAATTCACGTTTGCTCTTTCTCCCATTGGTTGTTGCTTTATAATATATCTTCTCTCTTCCCCTTAAAGGGCTGAAATGTTCATAAATTTGTGTAGACTTTTGTTCAGGCCAGATCTGCCTACCCTTCTGACATGTTTAGATATTCTTCAAAGAATACTTTATTGCTTGAGAGGGAGGATTTACTGCTCCATAAAGAAATAATAATATGTGCTAACAGGTGCATTGCTTGCTTTTGTATTCAGTTTAAATGCATTGGCTTTTTTGACAGATGAACCTTTGATAACACCAGTTACTATTTCTTCTTAACTTTCCTTGAAACGTAAAAAAATGTTCCACTTAGAACCAATAGTGGTATGTTTACATAAAGTAGTGGGCTTGGGATCAGTTTCCTCTAAATGATTGGGACTTGCTTGTCTGTTGTGCTCACCTGAAAATTGAGCCTCTGTCTCTGAAAACTCAGTAGGAAGGCTTTTTCTCCAGAAGCAGAAATATAAGAAAACTAATATTTCATTAAATATAAGAAAACTTTCTGTCCCACTGCAGAGCAGGCTGAAAGATGTTGTTTTATTAATTAGAGTGAGGAGCTTAATAGGCTACTGCCAAGTCTGGCAGGTGAGTCTCTGCACCTTCTAAGGGTGCTTTCTAACTTGTAAGACTTTGAATCATAGACACATACACTGAAGGCCAAGAAATTAATTTATCGCCTGAAAGAGATGGGGTGTTACAGGCCTCTTTTCAGAAGAATGTCTTGTTCATTATTCAGAACAGTAGTATATATAGATTTTGGTTAGCCCACATCTAAGTTAATTCTGTGTACCATCATCTCGTAAGCATCAGCAATTTACAAGTTTTCAGGAAATTGAGAAGCAATGAAATACATAAACGTCTAATGCTCTGCTGAACATGACTAAATCTCCTTAATGGCTTTGAGGACAGTTCAGTATTTTCCCATTTCTCTGTATAATCATTAAAAGCAACACTTTTCACAGTGCTGGACAACACATACAAAAGGATTGAATCATGGACTGAATCTGTTTTATTCTATGACACATTCCAACTATTTATTGAGCAAAATTCTGATAACTTTGTTCATCATTCAACCATTTAAACTGGAGTTATAGAGTTAAGGGCATGAGAAGGTATTCAAGCTTTTCAAATGTAATTATTTCACATGTAAGAGTCTTTTCTCAAAGCATTTACCTGAAGAGAAGTTGATTTTTAAAGTCATTCTATTGTTTAATTTTTTCCAAATGAAACATTTTAAAATAACATCGTATTTCCTTATTTTGTCTCCCTACTAATTATAAAGGCATGTTCTACCTCAGGTCTGCTGATGTAACTACTAAGCATTAGTCAGAACGGTGTAAGAATATTCTACTTACCACGTAATTTTATATGCAAATTAAGGACTTCTAATTTATGTGATCCAAGGAATGCCAAAAATTGGATCAGAAAATAACAAATTTTTGGTCATTTAAAAATCTGTTTTTCTACCTGAAATCACAGTAAATAGAAAATGTCAACATGGAATGTCTTTTTAGAGTGTACAAACAGGAAACTATTATATTGAAACACATAAAATTGCCATATTTGTGGTCAAAAATTGTTCAAATATTGGCAATTTTAGGTGATTTAGCCTAACAGCTGATATGGCAGGTGTTTCAAAAGTTTGCCTCTACAAAGAGCAACTTGGATACTTTTGATAGACATCCTAAAATTTCCCAGAGTGTCATATTTTCTTTAGAGTAATTTGAAATTAAAACAGATCTGTTTATGAAAAAGAAGGGGAAAAAAAGACAGATTTATCTCTTTAATTCTGTTAGCATAAAAAGGAAATACAGGGATAATCAATGAAGTAGTTTAATGGACTATAATTGTGGCATTTAAAAGCAACATGGTATCTTTTCTCTATATTCAATCTGATATTTGAAAGAGATATGTTGAAGTGAATGATAATTTGAAGGGATTTTTTTTCCCTTTATTGCTGATTTCAAGATATAAAAATATATTTGCATCTCAGGCCCTTAACTTTTTTGCCTTGGTTTAAGGTTATAGAAAGCTTTATATAAATCTTTGTATTGATTTTTTTATGCATTAAAATGAGTGATCATGCTGAGTTTTTCATTTACTGTTGATTTTAAGATATTCAAAACTTAGTTCTATAAGTGATTAGTATTGCTCAAGTACAACCTCATTTGGAATGGAGACCTACATATCTTGGCCACATAAATAGGACTCCAAGGAAACTTTAAACTCCAAGTGAGTTTGTTTAAACTCTCCATTGATTTTGGATGCTTAGAAGTAATTTCCATCAAAATATCACCATAGTTAACCGTAATTTGGCTCTTTAAACATCTACATTCTGTATTGGAAAAGCATGTCATGCTAGACTTGTGAGCACGAAGCAGCCACATGACTTTTTGAACAATGGCAAAGTAAATGTGTTTCTGATTTCACATCTCTAGCACTATTCAAGTGTTTATAGCATTAATACCTAAAATATATGCTTTACATTTGAGGGAAAAAAGTCATTTCACGCCAAGCTAATAAGCACATTCTTAAGAATTATAGCTATATTACTCTGTACTTATAAAATACGGCTTATCAATGATCAGCTCTATTCCAACATTTTATTCTTAAGTGTATAAATCTCAAGAGTGTCCTTCAAACTTTTTCATCTCTATCTTTCATTAAACAAAACAAGTTATCCCATCTCACTAATGTGCCAGGAGCTGGTCAAGATGTTTTTGTATCTCTTAGCTTACTTTATTGTCACTTACAACTCTATGAGTAGCTGTTATCTCTATTACCTATCCTTGGGCATAAGGATTGCACACCTAGTGACTAGAAGGAGGAGATTTGAAACCCAGTCTTTCTTCTTTCATACTGTGATAGTTGCCCTGAAATGCACATTGCAGGTATAGTTAGGTGTTTTGAAATTTCTACACTAGAGCGTCTTTGACTTTAATAAAAATTATCCGAAAATCTTGCTAAAATGCTGACTCTGATGTAGTAGATTGGGGTGGGGTGGGAGAGTCTACAGTTCTGATAAGCTCCCAGGTGATGCTAATGCTGCTGGTCCCGCAATCCACTTAGAGCATTAAGTACCCATACTACTGGAGGCATGGCCAGATAGAGAGTTAAGGCCTGCACTTTAAAATGAAGACATCTTTGAGATAAAGCAGGTGTCGGAAATCAAAATCAGCCATATTCTAATAAGGCAACTATAAAATGTGGTACTATAGGTGTGGGAGCTCCAAGAGCCTACAGAATTAAATAGGAGTTGGGAAAATTAGCCAAGAATGTTTTAATTTAGATGAGCTATACAAGACAGAAATAATGGAATAGGGATAATCAAAAATAGAACAGTCAGGGATAAAACAGGGAAGAGGAAAATGGGAGGGGACGTTCTGGCATTTATGTCATGACCTGCCACCACACGCTGTTATAAGTGGCTTCTGGCAAGTGAGTACTTAAAAAGATGCTCTACTTGGGAATACACTTTATGCATAGTACAGAACTGTCAAAATTAGTCTAATTCTTTGTTTTCTCCGTGAATGCCTGTTCACTTGACTATGAATGAATGAGAGCGGGAAGTTTTAATTGCGATCAGGCACTCTAGGTTACCTATTAACTAGCTTTTGGTTAGTAGCAATACTTTCATCTGTTATGTGCTACCTTAACAGTCAATGTGTTATCCTGGGAGCAGCAGTAGCAGCAGCATCTGGGAACTTATTAGAAATGCAAATTCTTTGTCCCTACCCCAGACCTACTGAATCTGAATCTGCATTTTAGCAAGATCTGTGGGTGACTCCTATGGACATTAAAATTTGAGTGGCATTGATATAGTAGAAAACGGGAGTCTGGAAGAAACGTCCAGTTGGTTGCTAAGTTTTGTGGGAACACAGAGAGGTTTGGGAAAGAAAGAATTCTTTATAGGCTTATCAAAGAGATGAATCCCAGAGAGCATGAGGATGCTGGCTTAACTGAATCAAAGCTGCAAATTCAATGCTACTGCTTGGAGCACAAAAGAGCTGTTTGGATAACCTTGTTAAGTTGGGCATATCAGGAATTCCTGATGGCTCAGTAATATTGCCTCTCAGGGCCAGAATGCCTATGCAGTTACTTCCTTGGCACCATCAATAATCACCCATGACCAGATCCCAAAACGAGAATTTGTAGCTCAGTTCAACAACAGTTTCCACTATTGCTTGAGTAACCCTGCACCGCAGCCCAGGAAAAGCACATGTGAGGAGTTAAAATTGTTTTAAAAAATACACCAGACTCTCCTTTGGCAGAATGTTTTTACTCCTTTATAGAAAGTTCTGTCTTCAAGATATCTCAACCCTCATTATCTTAAACTGTTGTCAACAAGATCAAAAGCAGCTGAAGCAGGACAAGCCAACAGCTTACAGCTTCTTGTCTTTTCCTTTATTATGACACCAAGCACGTTGCTGCGACTGGTTTACAGGCTGTATTAATTAGTATATTCTGTGTTACCAGCCTTCCTAAATGACCTTTATTTAGTGCACAACTCTAGACTTATTTGGGCAGTTCTTCTGGCCTTAGATGGCATGTGTTTAGGTCCACTGTGAGCTTGGCGAGGGGCCAGATGTTCAAGTTTGCCTATGTAGGCCACTTCATCTCTGCTCTGTGTGATCTCTGATCTTGCAGCAGGCTAGCTTAAGTTTGTTTATATGTCAATAGCAAGGTTCCCAGGTGTTGCCAAACGCACCCAGTCTCTGAAGCTCAAGCTGGAACCAGCATACTACCATTTCTGTTCCATTTCATTGACAAAAGCAAGTCACATGCCATCCAAGACTCAAGAGTGGAGAAATAAAGTGCTTCAGTGCCATAAATGCTGTGACTACATGAGGGGAAAAAGTATGTCCCTTTTTGCAATCAACATGCCACACAGGCCAAATAAAAGATCAGAAGGCTTTCACAGACAGGGACTATGTTTCATTCATCTTGATTTCTCTAGCACCATCTCGGTGTGCTCAGCATCTGACATATTTTGGGCATTTAACAAATGTCTTAGAAAGAGTTTAATTCATTTTGTTTTGCTCTTTAAATAAGCTTTAAAATCTCTGACCAGAATCCAAATTCTGTTGAAATGTGATTATCATACTCATGGCAGGGATCAGACCATGCCATTTCAAAATATGCTACATTGGCATAAGGATTATTTTGAGCCAACGACAGTTGAGAAAGAGCAGATTTAGAAAGAGCTGCCTGGATTCCTCCATCTAACTATATGCAAGACATACATTTCCATTTTTATTGGTGTCCCCCTCTCCAGAACCAGGAAAAGAAGAATGACTTCAGAGATGACTCCCTCCTGAGATGGCATTGAAATGAGTCCACGTAAGCAAACATTACTAAATAACCCTTGTTAATCACTAGTTTGCCCCATATGTTTACCTTTCCATAATTTACTGCCTCTGGAAGCCCACAATCTCTTTTCTTTGTCTAGTCACTTTCCACAATGTATTGCCATTTGTTAAAACACCACATAAGTCCCCAAGTCTAACCACTCCTTTAGGTTCTTACATTTTCTATGTGAAGCTCCTTTGCATGTAAACTTTTTCTCCTCTTTTTTCAGTTTAATTTACAGATTCCAGCCATGGAACCTGAGGATAGATGAAAAGTTTTTCTTTCCCTAAACTCACAAAGATGACCTGATTACTGGATTAGGATAACTTTTTGTCCAGTTGTATATTTGACAACTTACAGAAAGAACCACAGTAAAAAGAATAAAAGAAAAAATAAGACAACTAGAAAACGTAAGATTTAAATGACATTTTTGAAAATGAGCTTTGCCTCACTTAGTATAAATCTGTACAAAATTTTTCACCTGAAGATATTTTTTTACAAAATCACTTATAAAGATAAATACTGTGAGAACACTAAAAATATAATTGCATAATTGCAAGTTTAAGCAAAAATTGTGTTATACCCACATGACAGAATATTAAACATTCATTATGAAGACATGAATGGAAAATATAATATTAATATTAAAATATAAATACTTGTATTTTATACTTATATTTTATAAATACAAATATTTTATTTATATAAATATAAATTATGAAAATATAAATACAAGTATATATCTGATATTTTTATATTTTAACAGAATATAAATAAATGCATAATATAGAAAAAATTATGTTTTAATAATTTATATTCATATATTTATTAATAAAAATATAATTTATATTAATAAGTTTATTAATATAAACAATTTTTATATATAATGCATGTTATTTAAATAATTATAAAATAGAAAAATATTTATACAATATTATATATAATTTAAACATACATCACCATAAGACAGACAGTATGACTAAATGCAAGGCATGGATATATCTGGGTAGATGAGCTAAAGTTTATATACATATATATATACACACACACACACACACACACATCTATATTTAAATTTGTATGCATTTTCTATTTTCTAAATATCTCAATACAAATACATGATATGCCTAAAATTAAAAATTAACATAAGGAAAGATAAAAGACAAATGGAAGGATAGAGGTAGGGGAGATAATCCCTTATCTATTCTAGAAGAACCTTTTTCTATAACATCACATGTTGTTATATAAGTTAATTTAATTCATGTTCTTACCTTTTCATAGGACCACAACAAAATCATGGAGAAAGTTTCTTCCGGTAAACAAGTTAAATTGTTCAACTATCTTCAAAGCCATGGAAATCCACTTTCCTAGAAATCTTCACTGGGAAGAGCATATAGATCTCAGCCATCAGAGCATCACAGATATGGGGACAAAGACCCAATGTTGCTAACCTCACTGGAGAAGTTGAGCACCAAGGACAATCCTAAAGAATTAATTAAAGATCACACAGAGATGTGTGGAAGGCAGCAGAGCCAGTTCTTCCCAAGTTTCTTGGTGGAAGCAGAGGATGAGGATGCAGAGGGGCCGAGGATGCCAGCCCTAATCTCAAGAAGCCATGTGATGATTGCAAACGGAGGGGACACAAGATCTGCTCACTCAGATCCACAGGTAAATCAGGAATGGAGGGGAAATTTGAAGAGGACCGTTGGTGAAATTGGAGTCAGATAGTAGTTTCAATTTGGAGTCCTTACTGGGATATAACTACTCCTTGGGCTGACTTGCACTGGAGAAATGTCCGTTTCCTCAGCATCTTATTATTTTTAGTCTCATTTAAGAAGTTTTCTCCTTTTCCCTCCTCAGCTTTTTCTCCATCTTCCTTCTCTTCTTCTTCCACTTATTTTTTTTCTTTTTTCTCTCCCTTTTCTTCCTATTCTTTCCCATTTCTTATATCCTAAATCACTGCCAATTACCAGCACAAGGGAGCCCTCCCAAGTGATGAATGTATAACCCCCAAATTGTGATTTTGATGATCCCTAAGGTTTGCTACTCCCTCCTTACAGTCGACAGTTATTCCCATTCACTTCTACTTCAGTACTCTCTTCTAGATCTCATTTTAAATCTCTCCATTTTAGACCTCTTTCTCTCCTGATTTATAAGCATGGGCTGTCAGAGACTTTGTTCAGGCTGGTTCATTTAAATATTAAAACATTTCATCAGTGTGCAACTGCCTCTAAATTTCAACTTTCATGGCCTGTGCTTTTACTAAATTAATAGTCAGCACTTCCATAGCATTTGTGATTTTCAAAGCAACCCACTAGCATTAATTAATGCTAATGCTACCCTAAGAGAATGCTGTAACTAGCTAACTGACTGAACTTTATCTCAAATTATTTTTAAATGGTTTCAACTTGGGAGGGAAGTTGGAGTAAATGTGCAAGAGTGTATAGGATTTGGTATCATTTGCTGCCTCCTAAAAGTAATGATGCAGTAAATTGAAGTGAATCATCCTCAAAAGGACATTAAGGTTTGATCCTGGAATTAATCATCTCTAAAAATTACCTGTTGCCTATACTGCATCTACCAAGGCCGTTCTTGTAATAAACATCTAGGGACAAAAATAACTCATAATCCGGGCATTGTTTTTCTCCTTACTTACTTTAGTTACAATCATAGGATTCTGTTATTCTACTTTCTTTGCTTCTTATCACTATTTGTGAAAAAGTAAAAAGAGTAACAGAATAAAAATATGATTCGCTCTGCAGTCAATCAGTAAGCATTTACTTAACACCTACTAAGTGTCACATGTACTGCTTAGTTCCTAGAAAAAGAAGGAAAAACAATTTAAAAAAAAAAACACCAACCTACTGTTGTTGCCTTAGGGTAGACTTCAATTTACTCATAAATCAAGCTAACATGTACAACTTTTGAAGGATAAATGCTTATAAAGTTTGGGTTTATACGTGCAGTAGGAAAAAGTAGAAATCCTTGTGAACTGGAAAAGTTGGATGGGGCTTCAAGGAAAGGTTAGACTTGAAGATTGGGCTTTCACAGTTGGTGTGGTAGGTTTCGGATCATCCTGAAGTATAATATTAAGGGAGTCACTGTAAGTTGTTGAGGTTGTGAAAGATGAAAGGGCTGTGTTAGGCTGAGAGTCACAAACACGATGTCTTAGAGATTATCAGAGATAGGATACCAGTTTGAGGACTCTGTGGAATGTAGGATCTTTGGGGTGTTACTTTTTTGGCTGGAAGCCTGTGGTTGGCGATCCCTTTGCCTGAGTTTTGCTCAGACCTGCTGGGCTCATTCCACCCACCAGGCCTGACAGGCTGTGCTCAACTCTCACTGCTTGCCTGTATCCCACATTTCCAAGGAAAACTGTAAGTCAGGTGTGGAGTAGTGAGAGAGATGTGAGCAAGTATGGGGTCTGGCCACTGCACAGTCAGACATGTTGGCTGCTGCTGCGGGGTGGGCAGCTCCAGGTGCTAGCATGGGTGCTGGCTCTCTGCAAGGCTGTGGCTGGACCAGGCATACTACAAGCAGCTTCCCTGGCTGGCACCACAGAATGCAGTGGTGCCAGAGCTTGAAGATGTCAAGTACTGCAGGGCCCCAAAGAGGGAATCACAGTGCTGGGTTGGGGAGCATCCAGGTCTGGGCTCTGAAGGACCACACAGCTCTTCTCTCCTTCTTTTCACCTCCCACATGGTGAGCAAGGAGCATGTTTCAACCCTGTTTATGTTACAGATTTTTTAGTTTCACCATTCAATGGGTCCCAAGTTCTTGTCCTGTGACCAGGAAGAATGAGATATGCAGAAAACTGAAAGGTGAGCAAGACGAAGTGGAGCTTTATTGAGCAATAGAACAGCTCAGAGGAAACCCTCAGCAGGCAGCTCCTCTCCATAGCCAGGGTGTTCTGATGAGTGTTCAACTCCTGGCAGAGAGGTTAGCTCCTCTCTGCTAAGCAGGTCTTCCCAATGAGTGTTCATCTCTCGGTAGGGAGGGTAGTTCCTCTCTGCAGCTGGTCCTCCTGTTGTCTGTTCCTGCTCTCAGCAGATTGGGTAGTTCCTCCCTACAGCTGGTCGTCCCATGTCTGTTCAGGTCTGGCTGAGTCCAGGGCTTTAATGGGCCTCAGAGGGGAGGAAGTGCATGCCTGTTGGTCTATGGGCAGCCATAGGTGGGCCGGTAAAAGGCACCGTAAGTTCCCACTCCAGTCCCTGGGACTGACACCTGGGCCCCCAACCTTCAGGCCCTTGCTGGCCTGCAGATAGGGCCTCACTGGGGACCCCCAACCTTCCACCCAGGAGCCTGTCTGCTTCCTGCCACTGTCAATGGCACCCAGGCTGCTCACGCCAAGGGGCACCTGCAGGCCAGTGAGGAGCTGCCCTCAGCTCCACCTTGGCTTCTCCGCCATGCTTGTTGGTCCCCAAAATCTGGAGGGGGCCCAGGCGGCAGGGGGCTGGTGTGACAGAGCTGCCTCGAGTGTGTGTACACCTGATTGGGCTTGGCCCCAACTCCACTCTTAGGTGGGCGTGGGCTCCAGGAGTAGGGAGAGGCCAGACAGTAGACACACCCAAGACTGTGGGGCTGAGAGGACCTTCCCAGGGCCCTAGGGTGCAGAGTGCAGACAGGAAACCCGTGTTTGGGAGGGAGGGGCTCCTGCTAACTCCATGGAGTGTGCAGGCAGCCCTGGCCATGCCTTTTCTCAGCCTGGGGTGGGGGTTCCAGGTCCTTACTGGGCCCCTCTCTGCCCACCCCTCCATGCCCCATCACAGTGGCTCTCAGGGTGGCAGTGTCCAGGGGGACTCCCATCAGCTCTGTGGAGTGTGGCACCACCCTAGAGACCTAGCTCTGCTTCCTCCCTGTGTCCTCCCTGCAGCAGCTGTTATGATAGCAGCAGCTGCCCTGGAAAGCCTGCTGCTGCCATCAGGAGGGAGGGTAGAGTGGTTTCAGAATAGCAGCATAACACTGGACAGCAAGCACTGGATTCAGGTGACCATGGGTCCAAACCCTAGTCCTTTGTGCATGGGTGACCTTGAGAAAATTCTGTCCCTCTTGGGCTTCCATTTCCTCATGAGTGAAAGGAGGATGGCAATAATGAGGTTGACTATGGGGGCAATGGGAGATTTAAATAAGGTAATATATGTGAAGCACTGTGCTTGGCCCCAGATAGAGATATAATAGCAACTTGCATTAAACAATAGGGAAGAGTCAAAAGGCTTTCTGGATTGGTTTTCTTCTTTTGGTCATCAAATTAAGCATTTCACCATCTGTGCCCTAGGTGTGCATTCTCCTTCATGATGAAAGTGAAAGTCTTAAGGCTTGAGTTTCTATTTCTTGGAGTATACAAGGCTACTCTAAATGAACTTTCTGCTACAACAAAAATATTCATAAGTATTGAAAAGCAGAACATGTTCAAATTTATTACTTAACTGATAAGAAGAAAGAATATTCAAAAGCTAAAAACTTAGTACAGGTAGGAATCAGGCAGGATATAGGAGGAGGAAGTTTGTCCAGAAGGCATTTGTTGAACCTGTGTGATGTGGAACCTCTGCTTTTATGGCGCTCTGGGCTTGCAAGAAATAGGAGGTATAGCCTTCTGCTGTCACCACACCATGGAGCAGCGTATTAGGTTTATCTTTGCTCCCAAAATAGATGCTATAAGGTACTGCCCCCTAGCTACAAGGGGATCTGTTAGTAAATCTATGCTGTCCCCCTGCTCCCTGAGAGAATTGCTAGGAAATTTGCCCCTCTTGAACCTTGGTTCTGGGTGAAAGGCGACAAACATCTTGTTTGAGAATTTATAACCAGCCTGCACATGAGTTTGCATCCTGAATTGATATAATTTATGTGATCCCAAAACACCTCCAACTTAGAATTTCATGTAAGGTGCAATGATTTCTCCAGGCACCTGGCAAGAAAGCCCTAAAACACAAAAGACCCAGAAATCCAAATTCTCCCTTAGCTATCCTTTTCTAAATTCTCCTGTGCATGAGGTTATGACTAAAATGGAAATTCATTTTCAGGAGGTCTGGGGCGGGCCTGAGATTTTGCAGGTCTTACAGTCTTGTAGGTGAACCCTGTGCTCCTGGCCCAGGGATCTCACACTTTGAGTGAGTGCAGAGACCCACCTTCAACTCATGTGTCAGGGAAGTTCCATGGAAAACATCCTGAGGGTATTGTTTTAGTCAATTCTGCTTGCTATAACAAATTACTATAGAGTGGGATGGTTTAAATAACAGTTATTTCTCACAGTCCTTAAGTCTGGAAGTCTGAGATCAGAATGCCAGCATGGTTGAATGGCGGTGAGTCTGCTCTTTCAGGTTGCAGATAGCCATCTACTCCTTGTATCCTCACATGGTGGAAAGAGGGGCAAGGAAGCTGTTTGGAGTCTTCTAATAAGGATACTAATCCCTTACATGAGGGTTCCACCCTCATGACCTACTCACCGCTCAAAGGCCTCACGTCCAAATACAATCGCATTGCCGATTCAATTTTAACATATGAATTTTAAAAAGAACACAAGCATTCACTCTATTATGGGTATGAAATCACAAGTCATAACTTTTAAACACAAAAGAAAACAAATGCGGGAAGAGAGAATTAGATCAGCAAATCCTTCAGGTATTATAATTATCCAGCTGAGATATAAAATGGATGTTTAATACATTTTAATAATTTATATATGAGATTGAAAATATGAGCAAGAAGAAAGAAACTTATAAAATAATAATGTTTGGTTTTATTTGGGAAAACCAAATAGAACTTCTAGACATAAAAATACATATATAATTATAAAGTTTTAAAAGTTAGTAGATGGGTTTGAGAGAA